GACAAGCCAGAGGGACAGGAGTTTGATGGTCCTGGCTTGTTATGGGAGGCTTTTTCAGAGCCTGAATTTGGGAGCCCTACACAAGCCCGGTTCAGTGATCTCTTGGAGTGGAGGGAGAGCAGGTATGACTGGGGCGACACTCACGACATTGAGCAAGACCTGGCTCACCTAGCAACCCTGGAGTGGGAACTGGAGCAGGACTACCGAGATCTCTTCCACTCCATTGAGAAGATTCAGCAGGACAGCAAGGTGACAGAGCCAGACCCATTCAGAGGGGACGAGATGGTACAGTTTTACTGGGAAGAACCCCAGGTGGCCGGTAGAGATGGGACCGAGGTCTCTCCACCGGTCCTGCAGGGAATTGAGAGCCCAGTCTCCATTCCCCAGCGGCAGTGTAAAGTGCAGGGAGAGGAGAGCAGTATCCTCTCTCCCCAGCAGCAGGCTGAGTTACAGGGGGCAGAGGTAGTTGTTCCTGCCCCCCAGCAGCAGAGTGATATACCGGGAAGGCAGTGTGAAGTCCAGGGAGAGGAGAGCAGCGTCCTCCCTCCCCAGCGGCAGGCTGAGTTACAGGGGGCAGAGGTAGTTGTTCCTGCCCCCAGCAGCAGAGTGATATGCCGGGAAGGCAGTGTAAAGTGCAGGGAGAGGAGAACAGCGTCCTCCCTCCCCAGCGGCAGGCTGAGATACAGGGGGCAGAGGTAGTTGTTCCTGCCCCCCAGCAGCCAAGTGATATGCCGGGAAGGCAGTGTGAAGTCCAGGGAGAGGAGAGCAGTGTCCTCCCTCCCCAGCGGCAGCGTGATTTTTTGGGAATTGGGAGCCCAGTCTCCATTCCCCAGCGGCAGTATGATGTTTTGGGAATTGGGAGCCCAGTCTCCATTCCCCAGCGGCAGCACAGATTATTGGGAATTGGGAGCCCCGTCTCCATTCCCCAGCGGCAGAGTGTCCTACCGGGAATAGAGAGCCCAGTCTCCTTTCCCCAGCAGCAGGACTCTGTATTGGGAGCAGAGACAGTCGGTCTCCCTTCCCCACAGCTGGAAGTATGTATGAGAGAGGAGCATGTTACCCCATCTCCCCAGCGGCAGCTTAATGTACCAGGGGGAGACAGTAAGCCCCACAACTGTGCAGATGGGACCGTAGTCTCTACACTGCCAGCACAGGGGGTAGGGACGGTCGGTTCTGCCCCCCAGCGACAGGGCTGTTTAGCCAAAGGGGAGACAGTCGGTCTCCCCCTCCAGCAGCAGAGATGGGTAACCAAAGGGGAGACAGTCGGCCTCCAGCAGCAGAGCTGTGTGTCTAAAGGGGAGACAGTCGGTCTCCAGCAGCAGAGCGGTGTAGTTAAAGGGGAGACAGTCGGTCTCCCCCTCCAACAACCAGGCTTCAACCAGGCTACCCTCCCAGTAGCGCTGGCAACAGGGCAGAGTGCCGCTGGTCTCTGCCCACGCAGCAACCCACCCAGTCAGCGTACCCGTACCCAGCACAGCCGTGGTGAGGCACCTGGACATGGACAAGCTTCTCCTTTACCCAGGTGCAGTAACCATTTATTGTGGGTGGGCTGTGCTGTTGATTATGTTTTGTGGGTGGGCTGCTGGACTAACAAGGGCACTGACCGGCAGGAGGTCAGATACCCTGTTAGTCTGTTTGGAAAAGGGGAGAGATGTGACGAGACCAATCTCGCCACATTGCATTGGAGAAGCCTGGTTGCTCGCCTGCTGCCTTTGGACTATGGCCCCCTTTTAAAAGACTTTATTTTTGCCTGCAGAAAAGCTGTATTCGTGCTTTTCTGCCTGGGGTTCAGTAGATTTGTTTGAATGTGTTATACCCCAGATAGGAATCCCATGGAGCCCATTCGTATGAAACTGACTGTAAAGACTTTGGCTCCATGGCGATTAAACTGTATTTGTGTGGTCCGAGCGCCATTCACTTAATAATGTGCGCTCAGACCTGAGCTATCTGGGGATATGTGAAATGTCTGTGTGTTATGTGTAAAATGTAACTTTATGTATTTTAAAGTGTTTTACTGTCTTTGTGTCTTTTTGCAACCATGTGCTTAATGGAGTCTTGTGTCTGTCCTGGGAGATAATTGAATTACTCTCCAGGATAGAAGACTCTGAAACTGGTTTGGGCCAGAAAGCCATGCTTCATTTAGTCACAAAGGACTTTTTACTAACTTTTGAACCCCTGGTCTGATTCATGCCATTTTTTAATATGTTGTTCCCCTGAATGGATTGATTGTGAATATGTAATTTTATGTGAATGTGATGTATGGTTTTAGAGTTATGAAAGTTGGGTAGAAAGTATGTTTTAACTGTTTGTATAATTGAGTTTCCTCTCAGGATAAGGGGAGGGAATATGTGGGATGTAACTGTGATGTGATTGGTTGTTTTATACCTCCCTGTGGGCGGTCCTGTATTTGCAAGACTGTAATAAAAACCAGGCTGGGTGTGCCAGCACCTCAGACCACTGCTTGACCCTCAACACGGAGCCTTGTCTCGTTCTTGGGGGGATTCACTGTATGCTGTTAGAGACTGATTGCCAGGAGTGTAAGCCGCTTGGGTGCTTTTCCTGTTCGTCTACTACATGGGGTCTTCATACAATACAATGCAAGCCCCAACCAGGAGTCTCTGTGTCTAGGAGATAATTGAGTCAAGGACGGTAAGTAGAGTTGAGCGAATCTAGACTGTAGAGTTCGGGTTCGTACCGAACATTACGTTTTTTGGACCCTGGAACCGAACACGGACATATCACTGTATGTTTGGGTTGGAGTTCAGTGTTCTGCGATTTAATGGTGCATTTTCAAAGACTGCAGGGCAGCCAATCAACAAGCGTTTGACTCATGTGCCCTTAGAAGCCATCACAGCCATGCCTACTAATGGCATGGCTGTGTGATTGACCAGTGCAGCATGTAACCCAGCCTCTACATATAAGCTGGAGTCGTGTAGCGACGCACGCACATGAGGTCTTATTAGTGTAGGGAGAGGATGCTGCCGCTGTGAGGGACAGCTTAGGAAAGAATTCTGCAAACTAGTACATTAGTGGGGTGCACTTCATATCTGAGAGTCAAATAGAAGCGTCAAATACCGCGGTTACATCAGAGTTTTAAAAAGTCCTTTCTTATTTTGGTGCTACAAAATATATTAGTGGGGTGCACTTCATATCTGAGAGTCAAATAGAAGCGTCAAATACTGCTGTCACATTGCAGTTTTAAAACTTCACATTTTTTTAGTGCTAAACTGCTTAATAGTATTTTAGTGGGGTGCACTTCATATCTGAGAGTGAAATAGAATTGTCAAATAGTGCACTTACAGCACAGCTGTAAACATTCTAAGTGTTTTGGTGCTAAAATGCTAAATAGTACATTTTGGGGCATGCACTTTATATCTGAGAGTGAAATAGAAGAGTCAAATACTGCGGTTACAGCGCACTTGTAAACATTCTAATTTTCTGGGTGCTAATCTGCTAAATAGTACATTTTGGGATGTGCACTTCATATCTGAGAGTCAAATAGAAGCGTCTAATAGTGTGCATACAGGGCACGTGTAAAATTCTTATTTTCTGGGTGCTAATCTGCTAAATAGTAAATATTGGGCGTGCTCTTCATATCTGAGAGCCAAATCGAAGCGTCTAATAGTGCGCTTACAGCGCAGTTGTAAGCATTCTTATTTTCTGGGTATTAATCTGCTAAATCTGCATTTTGGGGCCTGCTCTTCATATCTGAGAGTCAAATTGAAGCATCTAATAGTGCGCTTACAGCGCACTTGTAAACATTCTAATTTTCTGGGTGCTAAATAGTACATTTGGAGTGTGCACTTCATATCTGGTGTATGTGTGCAACACTGGCTAGTTACCGCTACTCAAGAAAGTCTAAAGACAAATAAATGTTGCCTATGATGCAGGTAATATAGAATGTAAGACTTAGACAAATCATTTGGGTTACGTTTGCCTGTTGACATGTTAATTATCTTAGACCATTAAAATTCAATAATCAATGGAAAAACACACTAAGTGTCATACAAAAATATGTATTATTGGCAAGTTAAAAACAAGACTACAAATCATGCTATAACAAAATTAAACAAGGTTTAAAATATGTTTGGGTCAACCAGTGGCTGTAAAAACAAAGTTTTACTGGTTACATTCATGACTACACAGTCTAGTGAACAGGACCTTTTTGGGCAAGAATTGTTTTTGCAAATGGAACTTTGATTCAAATTTACTACATCGGTAACTTGTAATATTGTTTCATACCTTCATCACTTGTTACACAGATCTAAGTGATAGAAACAGACTGATATTTTTTACACTAGAAACTACCAGATAACAAGCTGCTATATTTAAACCAGTTATCAATAGCAAAAAGGTACTTAAACAATATTGTAATTCTGGGGTAATACCCTCACAAACTGAGAGGTCAGTTTATAGAGAAAACTGCTGCCTGGATACAATTCTAAAACAATTTCCACATGTCCTTTGCAGACTTTACATGCTGGAAAAACACAGGTGCCAACTGCTGTGTGAATTCCAGCACAGAAGGCAGGGTTGAGGAGTGGGTAGAAGATGATGTAGAGCATAATAACTAGACCCCACATGGAATCAATGTCATGCGAGTGACGTGTGCAGTTTGGAGGACCGGGACTCAATATGCCTGATGTAGAAGTTAGGAGTCATAGTGTGGAATGGATTAGCAGGGTCTGGTGCAGGGTAACTGCATGCCCCCTGGTGTTGAGCACCAGCGTTTGTGCGGCCACATACCAGGACCCTGATGCAGCTTCAGTAAAAAGAGTACTGGATACCAGAAGCCATCACCAGACTGATCCGCAACTTGGAACAGAATGTGAAATTCACTGTAGCTACTGTGTGCGCTTTTGGCGTTCTCACCCTGCTGCTGCTCGCCTGTCTGCGCTGCAGTGTAACTTCGGCCTTCCCACTCACCGCCTAACATGCAGCATGCTCACAAGGTGGAACTCCTGGAGAGACTGCTTGAGCAGCAGCAGCCGATAGTGGAGTTTCAGCTGCAGCATGCATGGGTCAGTGGCTCTGCACCAGACTTGCCCTCCAATTGATCAGAGTTAAAGGATTTCAAGTGGACTCATTACAATTCCAGGGCCTCAAAAGAGTCCTGTATTGTTATTTGTCGTCACTACCTTCCCGCATCGGGAGTGGGTCCTTTGCACGCCTGATGCCTTCCTTGCATGTGGTAGCCGTTTGTCAGGGTCCCTGTACGGAATCGAACCCTGATTCCCAATTACCCGTGGTCACCATGGTAGATGCAGTCAATGACATCGAAAGTTGATATGGATTGACATACGAATGCATCGTCACCTTCTCGTTGGGGAGCACATTGAAAAAGTGCTCTAGCATGACGAGTTGGGTGATCTCCTCCGTGAACTTGTCCCTTGTGATGCCACGGTGTATACCCAGATATATCAGAGCTACTGCAGAAAGTGCAGACCGTCTGTGCGCGCTTTTGGCGTTCTCACCCTGCTTCTGCTCACCTGTCTGCGCTGCAGCGTAACTTCGGCCTTCCCGCTCACTGCCTTATGAGACTGTGCAAGCGGCAGGCGATAGAGTTTCAGATGCAGCACACACAGGTCAGTTGCTCTTCGGAAGAATTTTCTTTTTTTATATGCCCCAATGTTTTGGGGGCTACCTCAATTAAAATAAAAAAAATATATAAATATAAAAAACAGTGTTGGCTACCTCCTCTTCCTCAACCGTTGCTTCCACCTATACCGCCACAGTCAGCGCCTCCTCAACCTATGGGCCATTTAGTATAAACTATGTGCACAATAGCAGAGGCTTGTGAAGGCCTTTTCTCCATACTTCAGGAGTTGAGCATTTCTCCATACATCAGGACTGCAAGAAATGCACCGCAGGCCGCAAATGTTTCTTTTTTTGTATGTCCCAATATTTTGGGGGCTACCCCAATTCCCAAAAAATAATATATATATATATATATATATATATATATATATAACAGTGTTGGCTACCTCCTCCCCCTCCACCGATGCTTCCACCTACACCGCCACGGTCACCGCCTCCTCAACCTATGGGTCACTTAGTATAAACTATATACACAATAGCAGAGGCTTGTGAAGGCCTTTTCTCCATGCATCAGGAGTTAAGCTCAGTTTGAATGCACTCCAACCCTCTCTCAAATGGATAATTCTGGTGATCCTCCTGACAGCCATGCTTTAGATTTTGATTTATGTTCTTCCAAAGCTAAAATCAAAGATTCCATCTAGTGATATTTTATGGCTCAGCTGTATTTTTAATTTTTACGTTATTTTAAGTGATTTCCCTATCCACATTTGTTTGCAGGGCACTTGTCCTAATCTTACACCATTTTACTTCCTTTTGCAGCCCTCTAGCCCTTTCCAGGACTTTTTTAGAGGTATTTTTGTGGACAAAAGTTTGATTCCCCATTGACTTCAATGGGGTTCGCATTCGGGGTCAAGTTCGGGGTCAAGTTCGATCACATACCCTGACTTTTTTTCAAAGTTTGGCCAAACCCGCCGGACCCGAACATCCAGGTGTTCGCTAAACTCTACCGGTAAGTTAATTATCTCCCAGATATAGAGAGCCAAAATAGCCCTGTTCTGAGCTCCCAAATAGCACACAGATCCATGCAGTGTAGTGGAATCACCACCTGAGTAAAATTCTGAGTGCACATGTGGTCCTATGCCCAAAATAGTTTCAGAACGATTAGTGCTTTGGTTGATCAACTTTCAGCGTTCCTGTTGACAAAATATGGTGTGCTCCTCCTGGCATAAGACTTAATTAAACCAAGATACAGATAAAATTACTTATAGAAATGTATTTTGCCACACAGTGTCACCACAAATATAAAATTATATATTTTATAATGCCTATATATGCCATTATAAAACATATTTTTTATATAAAAAAACAGTATACTGGTATAAAATAGCATACTGATTCATGGGGTTGTCATCAATGGGGTACCTCAGGGATTTGTACTTGGACCCATTCTCTTTAATGTTTTTATTAGTGATATTGCAGAAGGTCTTAATGGTAAGGTATGTCTTTTTGCTGATGATACTAAGATATGTAACAGGGTTGATGTTCCAGGAGGGATAAGCCAAATGGCAAACAATTTAGGTAAATTTGAAAAATGGTCAGAGTTATGGCAACTGACATTTAATGTGGATAAGTGCAATATAATGCATCTTGGATGTAAAAACCCAAGGGCAGAGTACAGAATATTTGCTAGAGTTCTAACCTCAACATATGAGGAAAGGGATTTAGGGGTGATTATTTCTGATGACTTAAAGGTAGGCAGACAATGTAATAGAGCAGCAGGAAATGCTAGCAGAATGTTTGGTTGTATAGGGAGAGGTATTAGCAGTAGAAAGAGGGAAGTGATCATGCCATTGTACAGAACACTGGTGAGACCTCGCTTTGAGTATTGTATGCAGTACTGAATGCTGAATGCTGAATGCAGAAGGATATTGATACTTTAGAAAGAGTTCAGAGTAAGGGCTACTAACTGTTTCATGGATTGCAGGATAAAACTTACAAGGAAAGGTTAAAGGATCTTAACATGTATAGCTTGGAGGAAAGACGAGACAGGGGTTGATATGATAAAAAGGGATATAAAGGGAATCAACACAGTAAAGGAGGAGACTATATTTAAAAGAAGATAAACTACCACAACAAGAGGACATAGTCTTAAATTAGAGGGACAAAGGTTTAAAAATAATATCAGGAAGTATTACTTTACTGAGAGGGTAGTGGATGCATGGAATAGTCTTCCAGCTGAAGTGGTAGAGGTTAACACAGTAAAGGAGTTTAGGCATAAGGCTATCCTAACTATAAGATAAGGCCAGGGACTAATGAAAATATTTAAAAACAAAAAACAAAAACAATTGGGCAGACTAGATGGGTTCTTATCTGCCATCACATTCTATGTTTCTATGATTTGATATACATGCATGAAGGGTATTGCTTTAACTAATTTTATTGTTTTAACATTTTCACATGTCCTATTTAGCATTAGGTTTTATATACACATATGTTTCCTATTTTGTTACAGAAGTCAATTAAAGTAAAATAATCTATTAAAGTAAGCATTTGTATTGTAAGTTATGCACATGTACAGAGTTATCTGGGGACTGGATGCAGCTGGAATCAGAATCATTTTTACCTTGTGTTAATTATTGGCCTTAGCTCTGCAGATCAAAAATTGAACTAGTGGTCCCTAGTGCAATGCATGTTAATAATTTCTCAATGCTTGAGGCTTATTGTTCAGTAACTATATAAAGTTAGTGGAATGGTTTGAGTTACAGATGCGGCAGGTTTAATTTGCTCAAGTACATTATGGCTCGCTGACATTTTATGTTTTATCTTATATGTTGTTATCCGAAAAAAAAAAAAATAATGTTAAAATCTACAATTTTGTCTAATATTTGCAAAGTGCTTCTCTGTCTTGCTAGCCTTTACATTGCACCTGTGGCAATCAGTTTATCATCACCATGCCAGTTACAACTGATACAATCATTTGAAGACTTTGAATATTTTAAAGATGGAGACATTATCATCGGAGCTGTGATAACTGTGAATTCGCACGTATCTCCAGTTATAGCTGGCCTTAATCCTCTGATTATCTGTTCTTCGTAAGTAACTAAAGTCAATAAATAACTAAAATGTGCAAATCACACATGCAGATATATGAATTTTACTATTGCCATTATTGTCGTATTATTGTATCCTGATCATAAGGTTTCTTCAGTACATAGTAAATGGAGGTGAGTTAAGAAATTAATTGTAAAATTACAGCACAAATTGACTGAGATTAAAGATTATCCAGTTCAGCTGCTTTCCTGTTTTTTATTATTTTTTTTTGCAGTGCATAGGAATGCTGCACATAGGCTCTAGGTGACCCAACAGAAGTCCTCATGCTCATCATCATATATTACAATTGGGGTACTTGTAGAAACATGCACAATTTTTTAATAAAATAATAACAAGGAAGCAATGTCAATTAATGCTAGAGAGTGAAGTTAATGTTAGGATAGTAATATTGCTAAAACAGAGGTTTGTGTGCCACTGGCTGGGGCTTAGGTAGGCTGATTGTTTTATCAAGCATACAGAGCAGTGTTGGAAAACGCTATCGCATAGTGCACTCCTTTGCAGGAGAATGGTCTGGGATAAGTGATGCACTTTGCATTCTCCCTAGTCAGGGTGCTTGAGGTTTAGCACAAAAGGAATACCTGTGGGAAGGTGCCCTAGTGTTAACTATGATTAGTCCTCAAGTACTGGTTCTCTAAAACGACATGTGTTGCTTATGTGGATAGCCTTTCACAGTGCTGCAAAGGCAGGGCATCTCGCTATATAGTGTGTCTAGCGGATATACTGAATAAAAGAAATACTAGGCAAACAACAGATAGCACTATGCCAACATTATGTTACTTTACAGTCCCGGAGCGTGGACTAAGTTGGTGCCACTTGGTTACAGTCACTCAACCTATGCCGGCTGTCGGCTTGGTCAGGATATTGGTGCTAGGAGGGTCCCAGGATTCTGCAGAAGGATCCAGTCCAAGTACTGCCCCATATTGGAGAGATAGGAGGCCCTGGTAGTGTGTCTCTGCTGTCGGCGGGCGGTCTCCTGCCCATGGGGTCGATGCATCAGGATCTTGCCCATTGTAGCCTTCTGCCTAAGTAGGCCTGAATCAGAGTTTCTTCATGTTTTGCACTTTAGAGCTCCTGGAGGTGTCCCACCACCTCCATTCCATATTCCGCTCCCGGACTCCAGTGCCGGCTGATGTGGTATAGCCTTCACCTGCTTTTCCTCCAGGGTGGGTGAAGATTTCATCCAGTCACAGTAGGGAACTGTTGATGAAGTCAGATTGTGGCCTCCCTTGCCATGTGTGTAGTGCCTTGCTGACCCCCGAGTCCGCCACCATCTTGATTGAGTTAGTAGCGGAATTTGCAGTCTCGGGATCCGTGTCGCAGAGGTTCATTAGTGCAGCAGGCCAGCCAGTGTGGACCGGGATATCCCCCACCGGTCCAAAGGGGGAGGGACCGAGCTGTAGCCATACGGTACAGGCAAGCAGCAGTCTTGTCTGTCGGACAGGCTCCACCGGGGTTTGCAGAGGGAGCCGCTTCCAG